TGATTGGGAGAAGGGGCGTCACTGCTGGAGAGTAGAAAGCAAGGAAGTCAGGGAACCCCGATATGATTCAGAAGTGTGTGGTTAGGAAGAACGGTCTCTTTAATGATATTACTTATTAACAATGTCATTTCGCATTTGTCTGCACTTCTTACAAATGATTCTTCCTACCTCCATTAAAGTTTCTTCCTCTGTAGCAGTTAAATGTCCTATACTTCCTCAAATGACTTTTCTTTCCTCCCCTGCCACCTCCATAACTGCCCAGGACTGTCAAAAATGCTGAGGTTATCTTTAAATCCCCCAAACACACTTCATTTTCTGCCTCTGAAAAAGAGATTGATATAAATTACTTGCATGGCTTAATTTAAGGAAAAGAAAGACATTGCAGTAATGATTATTATTTCCATTATACTTCCCTAGCTGAATTTTGGGAACCAGGTGCCTGTGGCAGCTGTATGAAAAATTGAAAGATGAGGACTCTAACGTCAAGGGGTTTGGTCCTGATGAATGCATTACTAATGCGTGTTATTAGAATTCCCACCACAGCTTTGACAATAAGACAAGTTATTTTTCGATAACTCCAGGGTTCAACAACAAGAAAAAGAAAAATAGATATGCATCTACCACACCTTGTTGAGCTTTACAATGTCATTTCTTACATTTCCGTGTCTACTGATGGTGGCATTGTTAATTTGTGAGATTCCTTGATCATAATCCATAAACTAAGTTTTAGTACTTTGTAGAGAGGCCAATGAATCTGTGGTTTATTTTCCTTAATAAAAAAAAAAAAAGATGGTAAAGATGGCATAAATAAGAAAATACAAATATAGTGAGAGTTCTGAGGAAAATAAAGGGTAACTTATGACTAGATAGTTCTGGTAATTTGATTAATGCTAATGAATAAAGTGGTTAACACAATTGTCTGAGGCATTGGTGATGAGGGCAAAGTCATAGATTTGGTCTTTCTGTGGGACACTCAACTTTGAGTGAGTATAAGACACTCTAAGTTCCTCATTCTTTATCAGTTGGAGCTGGATCAAAGCACAGGAGGGAATAGGCTAACCCTAGGCAAGAAGGAATTCTCATGCTGGCCTTTCAGACACTTAAGCTCTTCAATTCCCTACACATATTTTCTTCTCTGCTTTCTTCCAGGGTTATGAAGAGGATGGGATGAGATAAGACATGTCAAAGCATGTCAGAAATGATAAAACACTCAAAAAATGTAATATGTGGCTTATCAAGACATATCTACTTCTTAAGCTCTAAAAGCTAAAATGCAAAGGGCATTCTCCATGTTGATATGATAGTGATATTTTCAGACAAGAAGGGAACATAATTACATAATCTTAAATTGCTCAGTGACATTTAAAATAGAGTTTTGTTTTATGATTGTAAAGTGCTGATTTGGGCAAAATTAAAATTAAAAAGAATGTAGAAACAATGTTTTGAATCCCAAAAGTAAATCCTGATTATAAATCTCTCAAGGGTATGACTTTTGACTTAGGATGAGCTGTTAAAGAACAAAATATAGTAATTCTTAGGCAGAACAGTAAAATTTATTAAAGAATGAAAACTCATTAATACTTAGAATTAATCAAGGTTAAAATTTGAAATTTTCATTGATTCCTCTCTCTCACATATGACAGTTTGTCCAGAAATCCTGTTAGCTCTACCTTCAAAAGGTATTCTAGAAACCTACCATTTCTGCCACCTTCACAAATACCATGTAGAATCAAACCACTATCATCTTTTACTTGGTTTACAGCAGTAATAGATTCCAAAATCGTACAGACTATATTCAACACAGCAACTAGAGTGACCTTTTAAGCAAGTTATTGTAAACCAAAAGCCTCCAGTAACTTTTCATTCCACTCAAAGTAAATACCCAAGTCTTTATTTACCACTGCCCTAATTTGTCCACACCCCACTACCTTTCTGACTTCATTTTCTTGTACTCTTCCCCTTTGATTATTCTACTCCAGCCACTAGGACTTCTTCCTGTTTCTCAAAGGTGCTTCACATGCTCCCATCTAATGGCCTTTGCATTAGCTGTTTCTTTTGCATGAAATGTTCTGTTCCCAAGTAATCACTGGGCTAACTCTCTCCTCTCCTTCAAATCTTTGCTAAAATTTTACCTGTTAATGAGGTCTTTCTAGTCCACCCTGTTTAATCCTGTAAACTATTCTCTCTCACGATCTCAGTGCTCCTGATCCTCTTTACTTAACTTTGGTTTTCCCCATAGCTCTTAATACAATCCAACATACTATATAATTTACTCATTTGTTAGGTTTATTGTCTATCACCTGTCTGTTCCTCTTCCTCCTATTAAAATATAAATTCCTCAAGGAAAGAAATCTTTGGGTTTTTTGCTGATACATTTCAAATATCCAGAGAAAAAATTCTAGCACTGAATATTTACATGCATATTTATGAAAATAGAGATACACATGCCACATGCTTCCCTTCATTGTCCAAGTAGGCAACACTGATGGTAAATTATGTGAATATCTGCAGAAAGTCTGAAAGACTACTGAGTGACAGCACTTTTTATTCAGCCTCAGCATACTTACCTACCTCTTGCATTACATTTTTGCACTTGTGATTCTTTTTTTTTTTTGAATTTTTATTTTGTCAATATACAATGTAGTTGATTATTATGTCCNAACAGTAAAATTTATTAAAGAATGAAAACTCATTAATACTTAGAATTAATCAAGGTTAAAACTTGAAATTTTCATTGATTCCTCTCTCTCACATATGACAATTTGTCCAGAAATCCTGTTGGCTCTACCTTCAAAAGGTATTCTAGAAACCTACCATTTCTGCCACCTTCACAAATACCATGTAGAATCAAACCACTATCATCTTTTATTTGGTTTACAGCAGTAATAGATTCCAAAATCATACAGACTATATTCAACACAGCAACTAGAGTGACCTTTTAAGCAAGTTATTGTAAACCAAAAGCCTCCAGTAACTTCCCATTCCACTCAAAGTAAATTCCCAAGTCGTTATTTACCACTGCCCTAATTTGTCCACACCCCACTACCTTTCTGACTTCATTTTCTTGTANCCCCCCAAACACCTAATGTCCTCAAAAACAGAGAAGCCCCCCTTCTTTGCTAAATGCATGCCTTCCATGCACATGTATCGGTATGCGAGGGTTGAGAGAGAGAGAGAGAGAGAGAGAGAGAAAGATCCAAATGACTCCCTTGGCTCAGATCTCTATTTTTTTCCACTTCTGATTTTTTTTTTTTTTTAGTTCGTTTTCTATGGAAACGAGCCCACTTAAATTTCCCACTTATGCAAATAAAAGAAAAATGCTCTTCATAAACCTCCCATTGGAGGGATGCCGCGGTAGCCCGTGCTCCCGACTCAAAATTCATGTCTGATTCACAGGGCACTCGTCCTTGCAGGGTGACTTTTCTAAACTTACAGGACCTCAAAAGCGTCCCTGGCTCCACCAGTTCTCCACCTGCCCGCCACCTGCCCTCCTGGGTCCCTTTAGCCCAGGCTCCCCCCCTTGCCTGATGTCTCTCCATCCCTGCGCTGGGGGAGGGGTTCTGGCGGTATTCTATATCCATGGTAACTCCACAGCTGAGAGAAAGAAAACCGCGCTGTGCTTACCAGGTGCGCGCCCTGAGCCTTGCGCCCCTGGCTGGCCGCTCCTCGCGGGCTTCCTGCGCTCTCTTTAGCGGCCTTAGCTGCAGCCGGAGCGCTAGTGGCGGCGATGGAGGCAGCGGTAGCAGCAGACAGGCAGGCTGCGGGGCCCGCGGCGGTGGCGCTCGCTCTCTCGCGCCAGCGCCGGGAGCACGTGCCGCGCTCGGGCAGACGCAGCTGGAAGCGCAGCGCAGGGCTGCCTCCTACTTCTGCAGCGCGCGGCGGGGGTCGGCAGAACCGCCAGGGCACAGGCTCAGTGGGCGAACAAGGGTCGGATGTTTCTCCTAGTTTCGGGGTTCAGGCGAGGGTAGCCTTGAGCTTCCTCTCCTGCTCAGATACCCTCCGGGAGCCACGGAAGGAGGAGATCTGCGCGGGGAGGCGTGGGTGGTGTGTCACTCCACGGGGGGAAGCTGGGGGAGCAGGTAGATAATAAGCTTCTGTCTGACGATGGCACTTAAACCTCTGACAATGATTGGGAGAAGGGGCGTCACTGCTGGAGAGTAGAAAGCAAGGAAGTCAGGGAACCCCGA